CTACTACCAACAATATATTACATATATATACATATGAATATCAAACCATAATAATTGGTGTAACACAAAATCTCAATAGTTAATATAAATCAACTTTTATCTTTAAAAATTTTTTGATAGAATTCTCCTTGAAAATATGATCTAATTGACAATATCAACATGTGTGTACAATTCATAATCAAACCTTTCTGTAAATAAACACTACCTTAAATCAATAATCTTGTCACATTACGTTAATATCGTTATTACTATTGTTTATCAACTGCTGCAATATAATAATCCAAACATCTAATACAAAATGAATAAGATACCAATTATAAACTAAACTAATACTAAATTGAGCCTAATATCAATAATTAAGTACATTCACTCATCCCGTAGAAGCCAAATAACTTGTAAAATCAATATATTGTGCCTCCTAGTTAGTTGTCATGCCTAAAGACACTTTATAATACAAAAAAAAATTATTAATTAAAATCTACTAAACAAAGTTGAAATTCGAGCATCGATTGACTTTCTACCGAGTTAAAGTTAATTGGAATCCACCAACCACAATTCTGCCTTAATAAAAAGATTTACCAACTACTACAACATAGACCCAATAATGTTCATGCATTCAATGACCAAACAACAAACCGTTTTCGTTGGACAACACACAAACCCACATGAAATCACACATATTTGTCATTATATGCTCCCTTGGTTATAAAAAAATAAAGAATGATAGTTTAACCATCTATTTATTTTGCGTCAATGTGGACCCCAATTAATTAATAAAGACATCATAACAATTTTGAGTACACTCCTTGCTCTTTATATGCTTTTTATGGGTATTTCGAACCTATTATAAAATTAAACAAAGCAAGAAACATCTCTCATCTAAGTTGCATCAAATTCACACACTACACCAAGAAAAAATAACCAAAAAATAAAAATAACTTGAAGAGTAACAATGGAAAACTTTCTAGAAAGCCATAATTGGTTGTTGCATCAGTACATAAAACCCAATCTGTCACTACCACAATTGCACAAAACAATCACCCCAATCCATTTCACCAGTGCATCACCACTAAGACATTTATTCATATGTATCCCAGGTCACACATTCGGTCATCATTGGTATGATCACAATACCAGTTGGCACTAAACGGTCCCCAAACTATTATTTTCAACATACAACTAAACTTGAATTTCTAGACATATGGTCCCTCAAAAACTATTATTTTCAACATACAACTAAACTTGAATTTCTAGACATATGGTCCCTCAAAAACTGACTAAACATTATAAGAAAAAAATTCAATTAAACAATTAGAAAAATTTTCATAAAATCGTGAAACCGTCTGAATTGCATTAAGTAAAATTAAATTGAAATTAATGAAGCCAAGACCAAATTACTACCAGAAAAGCAATCAACAAAACCAAGGCCAAATGGTCTTTCTTTACACCTTCAATTTGAAAAGCCAACAAATAACGAAACCCATTGCATTTCAAAAAGAAGAAATATACCAAAGAAAGAGAGAGAGAATGACTAAGCACCAAAGTAAAGAGCCAATTGACTAAAAATAATATCATCGTGAAATAGGGGAACCAAGTTTTTTTTGAAACAAAGGAGCAACTCAAATCATTGCATGTCATTAAAGTACCTATGCAAAAAAAAAACAATTGTTGCATGCAGTGCATCAGCAGACTTCAAGCAATATGAGGGCATTATCTAACACACAAAAAAAATTGAACACTGATCTTGGAAGTTAAATAGTTCAAGCATTATTTTATTTTTTTTGCCTTTTAATTAATCACACAATTTGAGAGTTTGCTTCATAGGTATCCACATCCAATTCAAGCATGAAAATATCTTAACCCCATCAAAACTCTCAACAACAAACAACTAAATTTTAATGAGTTGAATCCAAACAAGTCAATATAACAATAATTACATTGATGTTTTTACATTAAGAAGTGCTGCCACTTATTCATAAAGGTGTCACAGCGTAATAATGTTAGACTTGGTAATAATTAATTAACAAAAAAATTAATGTTTTTTCGGTAGTTACACAATTAAGTAAATACATACCTCATTGGACATGCAAAAGAAAACAATACAGATGATCTTCAATCATGTGTAATAATAAAATAGTAATGAATGAAAACAATCTCAAAATAGAAATAATAATAGTAAGAACCTAAATAGTAAACAGAGCTTGGAAATGAAAAAAAGTACCTCATATGTGTAGCTTCTCCTATATGCGGACAAAGTCTCGAATTTTTCAACTCCAGCTCCTCTTCATGTTTTATGGGGAAAGATTTCATATCACAATGTGATGAACAATATACACTCATAACACTTAAGACCGAATTTAACCCAAAACATTCAGGTATTCTCTAAATTCCATCTCCATCTTAAATTTTGTATACCAGTCATATCCCATCATTAATTTGGAAAAAGAAAAGGACAATTGATGTACATAATCAGTTAAATTTTAATCACCATTCCCATTAACAAACTTATCAAGACACTACAAAACATAAACACATGTCTGTGCCTGAAATTTTGTCAAATTCCTAGCAATTTCTTAGCTTTATCAGTTCTTCAAAATATTTCTCATAGATACGGTGTTTCACTCAAATCAAACAAAGATATCTCCAGAAAATCCTAACCCAAATAACCCTTTTCCATGAAAATATACAAATGCAAGGAAAACAACTTTTTTTTCAATCCCAACTCGTTGCAGTGTGTGTGATGTTGTGTGTGTGGGTTCGCTGCTCTGTGTGTGTATATGGTGTGCGATGTGTGTGTGTATGGGTTCGAATGTGTGTGTGCCGTGAGAGAGAGAGAGAGAGGCCTATTTGGGTGAGTGGTCGTCGCCGATGGTGATGTGAACCAGACTGTCGTAGGAGAGAGCGAGAAAGAGTCTGTCATTGTGTGTGTGTGGTTTTTTGGCGAGAGCGTCTATCGTAACAGAGAGAGAAGGGGTATGACTTGGGTAAGAGCAATGGATGTCGGCTTTTGTGAGATTGGGAGAGAGACACAGAAGTGAGATTGAGATGGATTCCATGAGAGATTTTAGGGATGAGTTTGGAAGGCAGGGATAGAGGCATGAGAGATTGGGAGAGAGAAAGGCAGAAGTGAAATTGAGAAAGATTTGACAGATTTCGGAGGAGAGAGATGTGAGTTAGGAAATGTTGTTGGACGGGAAAACAAAATTCAGTACTTACTGTAGATTGTTGGATCAGTATTTATGAGATGATCTGAACCGTCTTTTATGTTAGGATTACGTTGTCATTGGATATGTTTATATTTGGTCTTAAAACGATTTGGACCTCTCTTTGTCTCCAAAATTCAAACTCAGCTCTATTTTATAATATAGATTGTAGTTAACGTATTAAAATTATAGTTAACATTTTTAATCTGACAGAGAGTGTCAATGAAAATTCAAAAAATAGGAGTGTCCTTCAAGATATGATAAACTGAAACCGCTGCACTGAAATTTTTCTTAAAAATTAAGTTTTTAAAAGAACTAATCAGAAGATGCTACCAAAGCTTCTTTATAATTTTGAAACTCGGGGGTGACGTAGTTATCCACTGACTAGTTAAAGAAGAGTTATTTTTTTGTGAATTTGTAAAGACTATTCTGTTAAAAGAAGTTATCCGAGTTAAAAAAGCTCAAGTTATTAAGAAAATATTTTAAAACAATAGATAATTTAAAGAAACGGAAAATGTTTTATAAGATTATATGGTTAAATCTATATAATAAAATAGCTTACAATTCAAATCTCAAAAAATAAACAAAATGACTTTTGCTATTCGCGGTTGAGATCGTTTTAAATTTTACTTTAAAGTTAATCTAATGACTAATATTAACACTCTAAATTTAAGAGGAAAAATAGGCCCCTAAGAGTATGTTTAGAGTGACTTTTTAAAAGTACTTATAAGAATTATTTTTTATAAGTACTTTAAAAAAAAATAGTGTTTGAAACCGTCTCACCACTACCTCTAACACTACCACCGCCACTATCTTTACCGCCGCCGCCTCCACTACCACCACCATCACCGTCGTTGCCGCCACCACCACCACTACCACCGCTGTTGCCACCGTCGCCGCCACCATCATTATCGTTGCCACCGCCACCACCGCCGACACTGTTATTGCCACTCACCACAACCATCACCATCCCCTACCACCACCACTACTGCCCACCACCTCTCACTCCCATTATAGTCGATGCTTAAATTTATTTATCTCTCATCTATGTTTGTGATTTAATTTTTGATATGAATACAAATATGTTTATTGTGTATCATTTTTTATTACTTTGTGCCTTCAGGCACAGACAATAACTAGTATATGTTATATTTGATTTTTTGATATGTAAAAATATCATATTAATATAATATAAACAACAATATTATATTTTAATTAATTTTTTTGACAAAAAATATAATAAACCTATAATAGAATTAGGTGTACAAATTTAATTATTATTCAATTTGATTACATATTTAATTTAAATTTTTTATAAAAAAATTATTATTTAAATATATTTGCAAGCAATGCAAGTTGTGTGTTGTTAGTGTAACTAACTATGACTAATTAATTGACTAACAATCACATAATATCCCATAAATATCGGGATATATCTTTATCTTCAACAACATTCAAATAAAATATAGCGATGAGCCATCATAAATTCCTCTCACAATAATAATAATTTTAAGTCCCAACAAATCTCGTCTACCAAACTCCCAAATACGATAATATAAACTTCTAACTTTAAAGACTCCTATGTTATTGGTGAAAGAAAAAATAAACGTCGAGACGTTATAAAAATAAAAAATAAATAAATTGATTATGTTAACTTTTGAAAGATTTATTGAACGGTCCGTTGATATTGTATCATCAATTAATAATATCTAAACAAATAAAAAAAGGACTTCGCATAAACAAATAACTACTTGTTCATATAAGTCAATAACTATTTTTTTTTCTTTTTTTCTTAAAGGGGTGCAACGCGAGGACTTCTCAGGAGGTCACCCATCCTAATACAACTCTCGCCGAAATACGCTTAATTGCGGAGTTTTGATGGGATCCGGTGCATTAGTCCTGGTATGATCGCACCCTTATAAGACAATAACTATCAACCCTTCTTCTATGTAAATCAATAACTATTAAAGTAGAGTTCGATTTTTCTCATTTAAAATTTTATTATTAGTTGGTGATATCATATCATCAATACTGACATAGTATCACAGTTGAATTAAATGTTTTTCGACTTCTAGTGGATTAGCCGTAATTCAAGAACTCAATTGTATTTAATTTTTAGAAATAATTAGCTCCAATAATTGCATTCAAAGATTAAGCAACATCACTTTGGCTCCAAGTAGAGTTCTTTCAACAGGAAATCTTCTTTCTACAGCATCTCTAGTGTTTGCATGTTTCTTCCTCTCAGAGTCATACTACCATGGAGGTCGAGGACAACTCTGCGGTTACAAATCCTAGTGAGACTCATTTAAATCAAGATCGAACACCTCCACCGAATAACAGTACCAATGGCTTTGTAAACTATTTAGTAGCTTCATTGCCACCAGGTGTTTGCTTTCAGCCTTCTGATCAAGAGCTTGCTGGTTTTTATCTGAAGAGGAAGCTCAATAAGAAACCCTTGCCACCCAACCAGATTCAGGAGGTTCACGTCTACAAACACAATCCTCATACACTTGCAGGTCCAAAACTTGCTTTTTGCCTCACCTTTTTTTGGATTTTTTTCGTTTATTTTGTAATATCAAATTAATTACCCAACTCAACAAAGACTTAATTTATCCAAAATATTTAGGGCAGATTATTTGTTCCTTGTATTATTACTCAAAAAAAGTTTAAAATGTTGATCAGATATAATTAGATATACGTTTGATTGTTTTGTTCGTCATTTTTGAGCGATATCCATTTGGCAAATGAACCATTACTTAGTAGGATAGAATTGCAGAGTTAATTTACTAAATCTGTCAAAATATCATTTTTAGGATTTGTTTCCGAGATGATATTTTCTTCCCAGGGTTTCCCTTTTCAGTTTTTGCTTTTCTTGAATCTTGATAATTGATTAACTTAACGTGCTTATAATGACATTGATCTTGGTTTTTTTTTTTTCACAATCTTGGTTTTGTTTATAATCAAGATTAATTTTGGCATGCAAGCTATGTTCTTGTATGCACGGATTAACCGATCCAAGTGATTTTTTTAAAAAAAATTTTAGTTAAGTCTGTTTCCATAAGTAGTACCATGGTGACAACTACATGAGTGTTCTTGTATTTTGCACCTTATAACCAAATTCTGAATTTGTTAGGGTGTAGTTATTGTTTTCTTTCCTTTTTTTTTTTTTTTATTTGGGTAATTGATATATCTTTACATCTCAAATAAGTACTTGTCCTACCAGATTAATTTTTTTATTGTACATGTTTTGATAAACAGATCTCAATGAACTTTTTTATCAAAAGAAATCGATTTCATTGGTCAGAAATCACTGTAATTGGGTATATGCTCGAAGAATCTCAAGTAATACTCCAAAATGACCCTAGTCCGAAAGAGAATGTTGATGCCTCATGCGATCCAAAGGACTAGTTGACTACCCCCCTCACCACCTGAGAGGCTAATATACAGTAGTCAAGGCCATTAGATTTAAATCCAAGGGGAGGGTTTTGACACAACCCTATGACTTCAAGGGGGACTGAACGCACTTAACATATACAATTGTCTTGAAAAGCTGCAAATGGAGAATGGTAACGAAATGAAATAAGGCATTTCTCGCTCTAGTTTGGGATGAGCTTCTCCTAATTATGTCTGGTAATAGAATAGGATGGCTTGCTCTGACCAAGACTCCACTTTTTTCTCCGTCGTATGAGTTTCCTGGAATGTAATTAGTAAAGAAATTGGTACCTAAGAATGAACTAGTATTCCTTACTTAGGTTGCCACTATCGTTTCTTCTTTGTTCCTCCTATCCTTTTTATAACATGCTGAGATGTTTCCATGCAAGTATTGTGTACTAAGTGAGGATTGACATTTTGGTGATCAACAGAAAACTATAAGGCATGTGGATGCGGAGAAAAGGAGTGGTATTTCTTTACACCAAGAGAGAGAAAGTATATGAAAGGAAATCGACCGAGCCGAACTGCAGGTGATGGATACTGGAAACCTAACGGTGCTGATAAACCTATCAAACACAATGGTATCATTGTTGGTTTCAAAAAGACTTTGGTGTTTTTCTCGGCATACATCCGAAAGGAGAGAGAACCCCTTGGAAGATGCATGAGTATACAGTTAAGAATCCGCCTGGGAAACGCCAAGGGGAACCAAACCCCGTGAGGGTACTAAATATTAACCTTGTTCTCCTTTCCATGTTTCTATTCTTCAAAGTAGTGCAACTTAAAGCCGGTCAACCGAGCCCAATGCAAGCTGAATTCAAAGTATTCAGTACTTCTACAGTTAAATAATCATTTTATTTAAAATTTTGAACCGTTAGAAATGATATAACTTTAAGTATTAGTTTTTCAATATGTCCGTACAAGCTAAATTTTAGGCCAGCGAGAATAATTAGAGTAATAACAAGATTTAAACACAGAATATCCTACTTTGATATCATGTTAAATAAATATCTCCTCCAAAAGTTTAAGTTATTAAAAAATATATAATTTAAATATTTATACTTCAACATATTTTTTTTCTTTGTAATGCACAGATTGGACTTGAGCTAAAGATCCTAATCTAATTTAAATCCAGGCGATACCCTGGTTGGCATCTCAGTTCTTCGGAATTAAAAATCCAAATTGAACCTAATTCTAGAATGAATTAGGTAAACCAAGAATTAAACTGTAAACCAAGAATCAAACTCGAACTAGATCTAATTTTAAATCGAATTCAAGCAAAGTTCAAGATTTTAAACATTGGCAATACTTAGCTTGTAAGGTTTGAGGTAAATTTAAGTTTGGGTTGCACTCAAGTTTAGAGCTCGGAATGAGTTCAAACTGCCTGAGTTGTACACTCAAGTATTTGAAAACTTGTGCTAACTTTTGGTGATATACTTTCTTGTAGTTGGATGAATGGGTTCTATGCAGGATTTTTAACAAAGTGGGGAGATTGAACACCACAAGAAATGGGCTTCAAGATCCTAATCAACAGACAAAGAACAGTGTTCAACCACAGCAGGGGGATAAGCAACATGTTCAAGCTCGAGACGACTCAACTATGGTGTAAGGATAATGTTCTATGCCTTTGTCAGAAATTTTGGCAATCCTCCTTTCAATCATTATCGTCAACCTATTATGGCAAGTGGTTTCAACATATATAGATCCTTTCGAATTATCATTTTCTGATTTTAATGTTGAGGAATTTCTTGAGGATGATGAGGATACTCAGGCCTAATAACCACGCTCTGAAGGATCAAACCACAGTATAGGCGACAAAACAGGAATTCAGAAGAGAGATATCCCTTTGTATATTTTAGCTAGGTGTTTGTTTCTTCACTTTTGCTTTTCCCCCTATTTTGTAGTTAACTTGCAAGGGTTTAGACATTGTGAATTTTTTTAGTTTTTAAACATTGCGAATTAAAACTTTAAGTTTTAACCCTTTTTTATGGTATGGTATTTATGTTTTATAGTTTAATATCCATTTAACACAAAAAAAATTAAATGGAATTTATACAAAAATACAGACACATAAAAGAAAAAAATCCATCCCTTATATATTTGTGTCACCTATTTTTTATGGTAATTCATTTGTCGACACAAAAACGTAATTTGATTGTAAAAAATTATAAATTTCGATACAGTATCATAGGAATGATCGATATAAACTAGCCAACTAGAAGATGATTTGTTGAAAGAAGTTTCTCATACGTTTCCTACTTTTGACTTTTTTGTCTAACCCAACGCACCTTCTACAAGATAATCTTTTAACAATGTGTTCTTTCTTAAATGAATTCGATATTGGTTTGAGTTTTGACACTGGTCACAAGTTTGGTGGTCTAACCGGGCTGGCATTGTTGATTTTACTACGACTCAATATTAACAACTCCGAAAGGTTAAACTATTAAAGCTAAAAGCATTGGAATTAATCCTAAAGCATTAGGATCGATCTTGAGGTTGGTCATAATCTTATTATATGAAATTGTAGTATCACTCTTCTCTTGTAGCCACTTTTGAAACGATTATTTATTTTTGTATGATTGATCCCAAACAATTATATTTTTCAATAATTTCATTACACTTAGTGGTAAAATCATTCTCATTTTAGAGTCTATTTCAATACAAACACTTTTTTTTCTGAACTAAATATAAAAACACATTGGATTGTAATTGCTGCTATTGGTTACATTTGTTTGGTGAAAAGGCTCAAATAAAACTTTCTCAAACTTTGGGACGAGCCGTAAAGCAAAACATATTGAATTCGAATTTTAACAATTCTTTGGTTCAGGTCATGAGGAATTTATCTCACATGAATATCTTAATTCCGGTGTGAATAGTCTGTCTTTGATTAGATCAGAGAAAAAATTAATCAAAATACACGTAAATAGACTCAGATACCCTGGCTATGAAACGTAAATAAAACTTTCACCAACTCTCCAAAACCGCGTTGTATAAATGATGCATGGTATGGCTGTCATTGAATCGGACTGCACTTTGAAACCCAAATGCCGTAGCAAATTATCTGTGTCCAGCTTAAAGTCTCACACTTCCAACCACTTTATTACCCCACAACTTGGGTCTCCACACAACCTTCCTCTCCTCTTTCCCCTCTAATTTCCTCCTCCTCTCACCTCCCTATGTATACCCACCCACATAACCAAGTTTCATCTCATCAGCCCACAAAAAACACCCTTCTAAACCCAACTCTTATCTGATCACAATTCACACACATCTCTTTCATTTTCTTCCATTTTCCTGCTAAACAAACAAAGTCCCAAATCTTCTCTGCAATATTACACGGTATTTCCACTTGCAAATGGCTTCTTCTTCAGCTTCAATATCGCTGCTGATCTCTCTTTTGCTTGGGTCTTTCATGGTTTCTACAGCCAACTTATACCAAGACTTGGACATCACATGGGGAGACGGCCGAGCTAAGATACTCAACAATGGCGACCTTCTCACTCTCTCACTTGACAAAGCATCAGGCTCAGGCTTTCAATCCAAAAATGAATACTTGTTCGGAAAGATCGACATGCAGCTCAAGCTTGTCCCCGGAAACTCAGCCGGCACTGTCACCGCCTATTATGTAATTATCTGAATGGACTATTATTCTGGCCTCGAATTTTCTTTTTCTTTTTCTTTTTCTTTTTTGGATGTGAATTGTTAGAACTGGATACTAAATCCTCATGCTTCATGTTATTGCAGTTAAGCTCACAAGGATCAACTCATGATGAGATAGACTTTGAGTTCCTAGGGAACTTGACTGGTGAACCGTATATTCTTCACACCAATGTGTTCAGCCAAGGCAAAGGCAACAGAGAGCAGCAATTCTATCTATGGTTTGACCCCACTGCTGATTTCCACACCTATTCCATCCTTTGGAATCCCCAACGCATTATGTAAGTACTGTACCCCAATTTCAGGTTGTTCATGCAAATTATATCTAGTCAAAGTTCAATTCATTCGACTCATTTATCATCATATTAAATCTTATATATTCATGATGGGTAGGGTTAGTGGTGTGTGCAAGCCGCATTTAGCCGGGTTCTTTTTCATGCCGATTCATTTATTTGACGGATGTAATGAATCCATTTTTTTTTACCACACAAACTTCATACAATCATCCACTAGTCACATACAGTTTGAGGAAACTTTATATTGACTTGTTTGTCGTTTATATCAGATTTTCTGTGGATGGAACACCAATCAGAGAATTCAAGAATGCCGAGTCCCTTGGCGTTGCATACCCAAAAAACCAGGCAATGAGGATTTACTCAAGTCTGTGGAATGCTGATGACTGGGCCACACAGGGTGGTCGGGTCAAGACAGATTGGACACAAGCTCCATTCACTGCCTCTTACAGAAACTTCAATGCTTCCAATGCCTGTGTATGGTCATCTGGTTCATCTTCTTGTAGTTCAAGCTCTTCTTCATCTTCAACCTCTTGGCTGAGTGAAGAATTGGATTCCACTAGCCAAGAGAGGCTAAAATGGGTGCAGAAGAACTATATGATTTACAACTATTGTGCTGATACACCGAGGTTCCCACAGGGCTTCCCTCCTGAATGTGCTCTCAACACCTCATCATAAAGAGAAGAAAAGGGACTTCGGAAACAATCCTTTTGTCAGAGAGTTTTTTTCCACAACATTATATTCTTTTGTTTCATGTTTGCTTTATGTAATATTACTCTTTCATTCTTTGTATTTTAAATGGTTGTAGCTGAAAATGGAAGCATAAATAATTAAATACCCCTTTGTTGTACTATATATATTCTATATTAGCAATGGAAAAAAAACATGAATTTTCCTAACTTCTGCTGGGAATTATAACAAAGTTGAGCTCATTTATCAAGTACAAATTACATTTTACATTCCGGATGAAGTTTGGGTTTATTTACGGTACAACCGGATAAAAAAAAAATTCAACTCGGGATTGGATTGAATACCAAAAAATCTAAGACCCAACATGGGTATTGTTCAAAATTTAAATTAGGTTGGAATATTTTTTGCTTGCATACAACTTGAGGTCCGGTTAAGTTTGGATTGACCCACTTGCAAATATTTGCACGTGTAACATTGCAAGCGACTCTACATCATACAGCAATTGAAAATAGACAAACAACAAAACTAGGCTAGTTGGCTGAAAACCTAGTCCACCAAACCCAACCCTCGTTTTAACTTGCCCGTTCGTTCGAGTCATCCCAAACGTCCCTGTTTAAAATTAAGGTAACAAGCATAGGTTAATGGACTATTTTCGGCCCTTAAAAGCCTTCCACTTCAATTCGATTCAAGTTCAATCATCCATCTTAAACTTTAGTGGGTCTCAAATCCACATAAACCCATTGGTACGACCAAGTAAATTTAATGTCAGATGATAATTGAAATTAAAAGTGATAAAATCTAAAATTGATTTGTTATGACTTGATTAGCATGCAATTTGAATTGGTATAAGGGGTACTTTTCAGCCCGTCTGTGTCCAGCTAATCAATTGTCCCATACTCTCACCTCCGCTCTATTCTTCCGGCACTTAACCTCCCTCTGCCGTTTCCATATTCCTATGCCGACTTTGGTACCAAGTTTAGACCAAGTTACCATAATAAAAATCTAGAATCCAACCTGAAACATTGGGATCCATATCAAACAACCTCATTTTGTCGTACTCATCCATTTGAATCACAAACTCTTATTTTATGGTAGAAGTGGTTCAGTGTCTAAGTCTACCTTCTAGTAATTAAAAAGTCTCAAGTTTATAGTCGGCGTAAACCTGAACACCTGATGCAATTCAAACCGAAGTGATCTTTCCCTCTATAAATACCCAACCAGGAATTCAATTCTCATCATCCTCCCAAAGTTCCTCTCCTTCCCTAGACTTCTCTTACCACTGCAACTTCGACACACACTTTATATCATCAATGACTTCTTCCTATAATTTAGCAGCATTCATGATATGTCTGGCAATATGTTTTTAAACAGCTGCCTCTGCTGGTAACTTTTACCAAGACTTTGAGATAACTTAGGGAGAGGGCAGGGCTAAAATTGTCAATAATGGGGAGCTTCTAACTCTCTCACTTGACATAGCCTCTGGCTCAGGCTTTCGGTCCAAGAATGAGTATCTCCTTGGAAAAATAGACATGCAGCTCAAGCTTGTCCCTGAGAACTCAGCTGGCACTGTCACTGCTTGCTATGTAAGTTGCAGTCTTTTATTAGAGTTTGCCTCATCATTTAGTTTAGAAGCACTAATAATACTTCCTTTTGGTAATTCGAGAGAACGGTCCCAACTATACGTCCTTTAGACTCAATACATGCAAATACAAACTTTATTTGCATGCAATTACTAACAAATTAGGTGCACCGGTTAAACCCAAGTTTAAGTGACCACTAAGACTCAAATTCAGAAAGTGCGGGTTCTTTCTTTAATTTTTCTAATCAATATGAAGTCCTGGTTTTGTTTCTGATGCAGTTGTCCTCACAAGGATCAAATCATGATGAGATAGATTTTGAGTTCTTGGGGAACTTGAGTGGCGATCCTTATATTCTTCACACCAATGTGTTCGGCCAAGGCAAGGGCAACAGAGAGCAACAATTCTATCTTTGGTTCGACCCAACAGCAGATTTTCACACCTATTCCATCCTGTGGAACCCCCAAAGGGTCATGCAAGTACAATTTCCATTCTCACCCGAAATAACTCAATTTAACTCGACAAAGTCCAATCCTATCATTCGTCATAGGTACCCTATCAAGGGTCCATGCTCACCCGGGATGATGATCAAAAATTCGATTTATCTCATCTCTGTGCTTGATTAACCTTAGATATTATGTTATTTTGATATTTATTATTGACTAATTACGTTAGGCAAGACATTAAGTTTTCTCAGTTATCTGTGGTTTGACCTCAAACTTCTGAATATTATATTACATCACGACAAATTGCACTTAAGTGAACAATTCTAAAGTTGTATCAGTGCCGACTAGATTTTTCTGCTCATTTCAGATTTTCAGTGGATGGAACACCCATTAGGGAGTTCAAAAACTCAGAATCGATTGGGGTTCCATACCCAAAGAACCAGCCAATGAGGATATATTCGAGTCTCTGGAACGCGGATGACTGGGCAACAAGGGGGGGACTGGTGAAGACAGACTGGAGCCAAGCTCCCTTCACTGCCTCATATAGAAATTTCAGTGCTGATGCCTGTGTATGGTCTTCAGGTTCATCTTCATGCAGTTCAAGTTCAACACCAGCAACAGGCAATTCTACTGCTTGGCTGACTGAAGAATTGGATTCAACAGACCAAGCGAAGCTCAATGGAGTGCAAAAGAATTACATGATATACAATTACTGTAGTGACACAATGCACTTCCCACAAGGCTTACCCCAAGAATGCTCCATTTGAAGCAGTCCTTGGGGAAAGGAAGAGGCTGCACAAGCAACATCCTTGGACTGGATTTGAAATCTTATTTGGTTGATACAATGCAAGTCAGCTTATTGTTGTTCTTTTTTCTCAGTTGTTTTGATTAAACGAAAAATTATTTGTTTTGATTAATTTTTCTAGTTTTGATTCATTAAAATCAAAATTATGTCGGTCAGAAGAACAAATTTCAGTTTTTCCCTTGTGGTTAGATCTCTCCTATGAAGTTGGATAAAGTATGTTAAAAAATGCATGTATTTTCTTGGGTGTATTCATAAAAAAAATTGGTAAAACAAAATGCATTCTTACACTTTCTATCCAAATTAATCGAGCTTGTGAGTAAGCCTGTCAGCAGATTGGGTTTAAATCGGATTCTAACTAATCTGAATTCGAATCTGATTTCAAAAATTCGATCTAATAATCCAACTAATTTTATTTTTTGTAGTCCATATCTTAATCTGTTAACAATTCAAAATTTTGATCCAATCCGAATAACTAAATTTCTTTAAATAATTACTTAATTTCTTTAATATGTATATAAATAATTCAAATCAAATCATAATCAGATAAGATATAAATATATCTAAATCTAAATCCGTAAAATATAAAATATCAGATTTGAATTCGAATTCGGATTATCGATAAAAAAATATTAATTCATATTCAACTAATCAGTTTCAGATTCGAATCAAAATCCGATCCAATGACAAACTTACTTGTGAGACATAAAAAGTGATATAGTATTTAGCAAATTCAGAGATATTAATACTGAATCCCCATAATCATTCAATCACCACATAGACATTGCTATAAACCAACAGATGTTACCTCCTATTAAGTCGTCTAATTTACCTATTTCTATGAACAAGCCACCAGTGCAAGTGAGAATGTTCACCTGTTGTCTTTTGTTCTTTCTTTTTTTATGGTTTCCAGTTCAATTCGTACAAAGAAAAGGAAACAAAGCCAAAAATACAATACCAATGGTCACAAACAATGACAACCACCACATGAGGCAATATTTATGCAATTCAATTCTCTAAAATAAAAAGATTCAGGATAATAAAGATATCGCATTCATTATGCTCGTAACGTTTATCAAACAAGTACAAATTTAATTCCAGCACCCACAGGACGAGCTCATAAGCATATTTAATGTAATAAAAAATTAAGCACGATTCTTATACAACAATCAACAGCAAAAGGTCATAGGCAGCTTGACCAAGTTTCATACATGTTTCCCTAATCAGTCGTCAGGCTCGAGAAAGGTCATCATTTTCAGTCATAAGCACCTTCATGTCCGAAACCCAGATATAATTAACAAACAAGAAGCAGAATCAAGAGCGAAAAGCATTCACATTAATACATCGTCAGTTAATTTGAACAACTTACTGTACAGGAAACTGTACATGACATGTCTGATGTTTGCTATACAACCATCAGGGGTTCTAAAGACTCCTGAAATCTTCAGTGTAGTTCCAAAGCCTTGAATTTGTGCTTCCACTGTTGAGATTCAACATTGTCAACATCCAATACCCAACTATTCGTCTTCTAACTCCACAATCTTGGCCCGCCTCTCAGCTGCCTTCTTCCTTATGAAGAAGCCCCACCTCATTGCTGCCTTGATTTTCAGCCAACCCACGACAGCTTTTCCAGAACGGCTGCGATCCTCATCAAAACTGAAGTTCGGAGAAGGTGATGACATGTATGATGGGAAAGCATAAGCATCGTCAGGCACATTGACAGAGGCATGAGCTCCCATGCTGAAGAGTCTAAGCAAATGCTGCATATCTTCATTCTCAAGCATCTCATGGCTTCTAATGCGAATCTCCTCCTCTGACAAGAAGTCCTCGACACCCTTGTCCCGGTTGTGGGACCAGTCATCAAAGGGGTTAAGACTGGATTGCTGAACAGAGGAGCTTACTGTATGGAAGGATGAAGATGATTGCGGAGGACCAAGGGCCAGTCCGACCCTATTATTATGTTCTCTAGTTTGCATATGATGAGAATTGTTAATTCTCTGGTCATGCGGAGCAAATGGAGTGCTGTCAAACTGAGGGTGGGAATTGGAATTCATGATCTGAGACTGGGTTTGGTATCTAGTTGCCATATTGTCATTATAACCCAGACCTGAGAGAAAAGATGGTAATTAATGACCATTATACATGGGTTGCCAAGCACCACTGCGACATCTCTGTGTGTCTATCATCGTGACCACAATTGAATCATATAATAATTGTGCAGTATGCCCCCCAGCCCAACTACTTGCCTAGCAACAAAAGTTACATTGCAGCACAAAAAAAAAAAAAAAAACAGATGCATAGTGTCGCAAACACCTTCAAGGGTAGAAGCATACGGCAAAAGAGTAAGGAAGTTAGATAAACCGAAAAGCTCAAGCTTGGCTAAGGCTCGGTTCTTGGCTCGTTCAAGCGCTTTCTTATTAAAATACGAACTGAATCTGAACAATTATTCAATCTCATTTTGTATCCAAGTCGAGCTCGAGCAAAAACCGAGCTATTCACAAGCCAGGTCTCGGTTTATCGTATATAGTTTATTCAAGCACATTAATAATTTATTCAGATAGAATATACTCCAAATGAAAATAGTTTAGAAATTTTATAACTTCTATTGCTAGTTCCTGTTACACTAGCAGTAGAATTCAGCCCTAAACTACTGAACATTTCTATAAATTCATGTGAACATGTCTCATTCATTCTCCACGTCCAACCCCCCCCCCCCCCCGGCCCCCGGCGCCCCAAATAAAAAAAAAACACATTCACGGACTTACAATCCTCTCCTCTCTTTTACTCTTCCTTTCCAGTTTTCTCTCTCCACAATCTTAATGAACACCATTTAACCTGTGAACTTTCTCTAGGCCTGATTTTTGGAGATTTTGTGTGTAGCAGCATATAGATTTGTAACCTTTGTAAGGTGGCAGCGCCTACCAAGCAAAGCTTTCTTGAAGAGGTTGGGCAGGTTCCTTTTCGGCGCCCGCCCTTTCTTTTTTTAGATGTTGAGGCAAGGCAAGCCTAGGAAAGTGGCTTGAAGAGGACATATTTTTCTCTTAGAGGGACGGATCACCTTGATAAAAGCATGTTTATCTAGCATTCTTTTGTACTATTGTCACTCTTTAGAATCCCTGTAGCAGTAGTTGGTAAATTATATAAGACGATGATGGACTTTCTTTGGTCTAGGGCAGGGTGGGAGATGATAAACAAAGTCACTTAGTGAGTTGGGAGACAATTTGTAAACTTATAGATGAAGGGGGTTTGGAACTTAGTAATTTGGCGCCTAAAAACATTTTCCTAGTAGGAAAATAGTTATGGAGGTTCCCATTAGAACCTGACTCCCTTTATAAGTATGGGTGTTATCAGTGTTATTTAAGGCATAAAACGAATCGAAGCGAACCGGTCTCCTGAGGACCTAGGCGAGAAACGAAGCGAGCGCTTCATTGAAGCAAAGCGAACAATACAAAAAATAAGCAAATATTTTAGTTTCATACTTTAATTACTCCAATATATTCAAGTTTTAACATTGCAAATATAAAATATTTAAATGAAATCAAAATAATAAACATTAACATATTTTAAATAGACAAGATATTAAATATTGAACATTACTGTATTCTAAAAATAATCAATTGATATAATCACGTCATCTAAATGTAAAAGTTAGCAAATGTGGGTTCGACTTCCATCGTGATTGATTAATATCATCACTAAACAAAGCACTCACAAATTGATTAATCAAATAGAGCATATAGCAAATTGATTAATCAATTTAATTAACCAAGCAAATTGTTTAACAAGATTATTCACATCAAAACAAAGCATTTAAAATTATCTAATCATGATAAGACAGATTGTCATATGATACTGTTACACGAATCAATTAATTTATTTTATACATACACACTTATAACATTATCTCTGCTAGGGTTTGGTTAATGTTAAAGAAGAAGAAGGAAGAGGAGGATGGGGGGAGGGGGGAGGGGGAGGAAAAAATAAAAAAATTGCAGTCAGGCGTTCGCTTTTCTCGCCTGACTCGCTTGGTTCGAAGCTCGTTTTTTTCTCGCTTTACTTAACTTCGCTTTGCCTTGGATGTTCAAAGCGACCAAAGCTCGCCTAGGCCCTCGCCTATACTGCCTTTTCACAACACTGGGTGTGATATTAAGTCAGGGCATAACTCAACCTTGGAAGTTCATTTTCACAGATTTACCCTTCTTTTCTTCCAATGACTTGATATAAAGTCAATGATGGATCCAAAATCCTATTTTGGGAGGATACATGGATTGGAAACTTATCTTTTCATAATATATTTCCCCGTCTTTATCGTTTAATTATCCTCACTCCAAGAAGCTCTTATTTCCTCTTTTCTCGTCACGGAGAAGGGCTTATGTTCTTGGAATTTTCATTTCTTAATAAATCTAAGATATTTTCATCCAAATCCTTCTATTCACATCTTGTTAGTTCTAATAATAATGATTCTTTCCCTTTGGCCAAATTCATTTGGAAATTCAAAGTTCCTTCCAAAATTAAGGCTTTTGTTTGGACCATTGTCCTTAATCATGTGAACACTAACAATTTGTTGCAAGTTTGGAGGCCCTAAAAAACTGAGTCCAGATATTTGTCTTGCTTGGCAGTTGTCTTACTTGTTAGTGTAACAATGAATTGAATGCTCATTTATTTATTCACAGTGATTTTGCATGGAACTTGTGGAATACATTATTCAAGTTGATTGGCGAGACTTGGGTTTGCCCTTCTGCAGCAAAGCAAATGTGGCGAATTAAATATTGGGGCTTTGAAAAGAAAAAAGAAGCTAAAGTACTATGGCATTGTGCGATCATGATGATTCTTTGGTGTATTTGGGTGGAAGAAATGCTAGAATTTTCAATAACCTCTCCCTACCTTTTGAATTAGTATAGGAACATTGGTTTTTACGGCTTCACTTTGGACCAAAGCTACAAGAAGTTTTAAAGGGTTGTCTTTGTCGGATTTGTAAAGGGACTGGATGACGGCTCTACTACTTAGTTCTATTTTTTTTTCCATTTTTTCTTATTCTTAAATCTTTTTTATGGAGGATATCTTGTCATCTACATTGTATTATGCTCTTTATTCCTTTCAATAATAAAATCCTTCTTTTATCAAAAATAAATAAATATTTAGCTTTTGTTGCATGATTCAAATTTGGGAGAATTTTATGAGTTTCATATTTGAAATGTGTGAATTTGAGCTTTGGTGGTTTTGAAATTTTTTTCTAAGAGCTTGAGCTTTTGCGGAACAAGCTTGAAGAATAATCTGATCTTGGTGGTTGAGCTTGAGCTTAGCTTGAACATCCATTCATCAACTCGACCCAAGCCTGAGTATGAGAAAGTCAACTCGATTAACAGCCCTACACAAGAGAGATATTGGAGGCCAATGATTTGCTATCAGAACAAAGTATGAACAAACGGTCTCAAAAGGGGGGTGCATGACAAGCTAATATTGATGACCCATTTTTTCAGAACTGATTACCATCCACAAGGTGGCCAGCAGAGGGGGAAATTATTCCAGAATTTGCCAGCACAATCAGCCATGCAATTCAATATGGTAAACTCACTACAATTCGCTGACTCGTCACGAAGCTCACTACAGTCTATGTATCGCTAATCAAAGAATATGTTTATAAGCCATTAAATGATTACCTCTAAGTAGCAAACTCGAATCCACTGAAGACCGCTCAGCAGGAACTGATGCTGGCAACCGTGCTGGAGGAAGCTGATTTTCCAAAGCATTAGGATAATCCACGGGATCCATTGGAAGTTCATTTCGAGTTGTACTCGACCTCTTGCTTTGCTTAAAGCTCAAAAGCGACTTCCCATCATACTCTACAACTTGGTTCCAATTGTCGTAGGCTTTCTTCAACAAGGTATCCACATATATCTGAAGGAAAAACATTTCAGAGATTCTCATGTATTTATACAAGTATTTGCTTAAGAGGGGCCACAACTTCAGCAGTTAAAATACGCAAGAAGCCAGCAGAAAAATATAGTGCATATGAAACTTCTAAAAGGAAGACTTCAGACTGATGGAAAATACATAAATCTATTTTAATAAGACCAACAACAATGTCATAAAAAAGGCAACTACCACCAACCTTCTGGCTGTCAGAAAGTGAATCTGCTGAATAGTATTGTTCGCTAGCTATCAGGCCACACAGCTCGTAGATATTGTTGAAAACAACACCCACATCTCTTGTATCATCAGGATAATATACATAAAGCTTCCCACTCAAGCCGCAAGTTTTTGAATGCTCTATTAGAGCATCCCACATCTTATTTGACATACCAGTACCAAGAATCTACACACATTAGTCACATATGTTAGAAGACATTTCAGAACATGGACTCTCAATTTTGACACCCAAATCATACACTCACATTCCGCAATTTTTGGGAGTCTCGGACCACCAGTCGAAGAAAGTCTTGAACAGTAAATATCCCAGCCTTATTAAGCCTCTTGTGGAATGACCCATCCTTGCCAATCTTCTCCAATCTCCACACTTCATCATTTAAAGCAGGTGGATAGTGTTTCTTGTATACTGTCAAGAAAGAAAAACAACAGATATTATATTCCAGAACCACTAAGAAGTCAAACAGTACAAACTGGACTGAGTGATCTTACATTCTCCTCTATGATCTTTAACAGTGAAAGCTTCTGTTTTTGCTTCACGAATGCGTATGCCCTCACAACATCCTGAGGTAACCTTCAGGCCAAGTCTGAACTTTCTGCTCCTTATCCAGCTTGAGTTATCTGTAAACGTAAGCTCCCCTAATGTTCCCACACCTTCCTTGAGTGTCACTTGTAACTCTCCAGTTAGAAGTGGTCTTTTTCCTTCACGTTCTTTCACAACATGACTGTCAAATTCTTCTTGAGTCCAGTTCTCATCGTCTTCATTGTTGAAATCACCTTCCAGTACAACAACATCCAGCTTTACAGAAGATTCAGGTCCAGATGTCACTACATGGTCAGTGTAGGTATCAACCAAGACAATATGGATAGCAGCACCCTGCTCCCCTTCTACCTTCCCCCCTGTGAAGAGGGGCAGAGACAGTCTGGATTTAAAGTGCAGCTGCAAGTTTCTTCCATCTGGTCCTTCAAGTCGTTTGGGTGAAGACCTGAATTTTAGTTTTATGATCAATAAATCACAAGCCAAAAGTCAAAATAAATGAAGTGACCAATTTAGACAATTTAAAAAAGATAAATAACAACATTCGAGCTCAAGAAGTGGCCCTTTTCAATATTCATATCTCTTCAATGACACAATGCTGGAAAACTTGAAAACTAATCATTCTTGGTGACATGGCAAATGATGAGACCGCAAGTTGACAAAGCAACATATTCACGATGGGAGCTTATGTGACCAAATCCACCTTCAATTTGATAAATGCATTGCTTGTGAAGTATGTATTCCTTTAAGTCTTATAGATCTATCTGTTGTTGATTGGAAATTGGAAACTGATATTCGATAGAAACGATTGCTTAATTCTGTTAAGAGAGTTTGTATCCCACATCGAATAATTAAAGCTCAAGGCCTCCTAGTCTAATCCATTGATCTGCTGTGTCTTCTCTAGATGTGTCTCCACCATTTCTATCTCTCCCAAGTTGCTAGAAGGACCACCAAAGTTGGTTTATATACTAGAGGGGTCACTCCAATCATTGTGAATTGATTTTGGATTGGATGTTATAACATGGTATAAGAACTGGGCCTTAGGTGGTTTCCCTTATACATTTAATTCCAATATGCATGGTTGTTTGTTTGTTGACCCCACATGAGACTGGGTTCCAACTGAGGAAGGGTGCACCAAGGTTGGTTTATATAATTGAGGAGTCACTCCACCTATTGGCTAATTGATTTTAGGTTGGATGCTTAGTTTTATAACGTATAGTATTAACTTCAGAATTTGTATATTATTTAGTAATTGTGCTGAGTATTGTTCACAAATTGTTTATCAATGACTGAAGAATATGGACTTTCTACATATGGTCGTCTCAAATTGAATTATAATCAAATCGAATTGAGTTGATTACATAATTCGAACAGTTCTAAATTCGCCTCAAATAAAAAAGGGATAATAACCTCCTTGATTCAAGAACAATAAGACTCAGTTTTGATCTAAAAAGAATGAGGATTTTGCTTGATCAATTACTAGTATAATCAAACAGCAGGTCAGTTGGTGATAACAGTGGCTTAAGCTTAATTTGGATTGAAAAGTCATTTCTATATTGATAGTAATGGATTCAAAATAGATAGCTTCAAACTCCTCTTTTGGATAGAGAATGAGATTGGTTCAATAACTATATCTACATCAACCCACACCCATTTAAATTCAATTTAAAATTGAACTCATAATTTAGTTAATAAATAAGAAATATTATAAAAAATAGAGTAACTTCTTTTTTCCGATCCGGTGAATAAAGTCATGAACCAAATGCATATAAATTTGATAGCTAAACATGCAACCTACAAAGCACAAATATTTCGTTGAGGTCGGCGTACTCGTATCCGATAGGATCCTCGTCGGATACTCTAAGATACATATTGGATTCTCTTCCTACGTATCCGATAATTATAAATATTTAGATACTTCACGAATATTTTTGTATCAAAGTAACACATATTTTTTAAATTTAATCTTTAATATCTCCTTTTGAATTCACATATCATATAATACATGAACAAAAATTTATACTGTTTCGAAAACACATGAGTATTTTTTAAGTATTATCTATTATTACATGTCAAAAGAGCATAAAATGAATCAATTACATTATAATCTTAGCTATAAATACTTCTAAATAAACCAAGTAAATATTACTTTTGATTCCTTTAATTAGTCACTTCATTTTCTGAATATATCATAATGATATGATATATACTTCTTCAAAACTAAAAAAATTATTAATTTTACTTATTATGTCAAAGAATTACCAAAAGTTGGTAGATAATAGAAAAAATATGAAATATATTTTGTAATAAACATATCCAGACCATATCCATATCTTACTTTTTAAATTTTATTGTATCGTATCGTAATCGTATCTCGTATCTATATTCGTGCTTCATATCACGCAACAAATGTATTGCACTAACAAGGTACCCCAGTGGTCACTCATTAGAATAACATTGTGACTGCGAAAAAATTTCAAGGGACTGGCTGAAAGAGTTCATGTACATTGGCAAATATCATAAACTTCTATCATATACCATATACCTATCGTCTAAGAGCATTTCCTATCATAAGATATCTTTGGTACTAACGCATCCATCACCACTACAACAGATAACCCCATGTCTTTTCCCAAACTACAAACAAGGTTCTTCATATTTATATGTATACTTTTTCTTGTTTTTGGTGGTTGGAGCTTTTTCCTTCTTTTTTTTTTTGTAGGGGCAAGGAAGAAGGTCAAGGGGACCTTGCTGCAAAATGTTGATCCTGAGTAGAGCAAAATATCATCACCACTAAAAAAGGGAAGGACACATTCCATTGTTCCTGCAAGCTATTGATGTGCAGTTTAGTAGCAACATTTTTTGTATAGAATCATGCACATAAGCTGATCATTTTAAGCACATCGGCCGGCTTGTTAAGCAAACAAAACAGATGGAAGGATTGCGGATTAGATAGGGGGGAGATGACCAATTAGTGATAAAGAAGCTCAAAAGCTAAAGTTTTGGATAAGCTAAAAAAACTATTAATATGAGGATAAAATCTGTGGTAGCCACAGATAGAATAAACAAACAACAAGCACCCACCCCCCAGGGGAAGAGAGAGGGTGTGAAGGGAAAATGAAGAGAGAAGAAGGGGGGGGAGATTCTGGATCGAGTGAGTAAAGGTTAATATGCTACAACTTCCTGTCCATGTATATCAGGCATAGAAACATCCTTATCCTCACATCTGCAAACATCAAATAAATACCCACCAAGCATAAAAAAAAGATAGATCAAGCTTGCACAAAAACATAGAGATTTTTTTTACGAAATCTACAACGGTGCTAAAACTCACTGCTTCCCGTCTAAAACAACAAAAGTTCCAGGTCGAAGTTACATAAGCTGATGGGGTCAACTGCAACAAACTGAACTCAGATTTGTAATAATCTACACATCCAAAATCCTCATCAAGTATCCAGATGGTTAGCCACATGTCAAACACAATTCTTCAAAAGAAATATGTATAGAGAAACCTGAAAGCATAATAGTCACAAAAGGGCCAACACTGTTGAAGAATGTAAAAAAATGTAGTAGATACATAATACAGGTTTCCAACTATTTAAAGTAATTAGGAATATCCAAACCTTCCGTTGAGTCTAGGAGGGCCCAACTTCGCCAAAGCACGTTCCACTTCTTCACTAACCTGTTTAACAGCAACTGCTATATAAGACAACAGGAAGCTTGAAAACAAACAAGATCTTGCTTCAAAAAAAGTTTAACGTCAATCTTGCATGCACAACAGTTATTTGTGAACAAGAGATACCAAAGAAAACACAAACAATAATTATTATTTTCCGCAATATACATACAAATATTGAACATGCAACAAAAGTAATTCATGGGTGGTTCATATAGAGGTCGTCTATTCTCTTTTGTTGGGTGGAGGGTGGGTTTGAAGGGTTGATAAACCCAAACCGACACAAACACACACACAGAGGGAGAGAGGTTTGGCAAGGTTGACTGATACTACTGAGTGCTTGACACGTCTACACAACTTAAAAGGTTTCACATTTTGCAAGTAATTCATGACCATCAGTTAAAGATAGCTTAGCTCATGTTCCAAGTATTGCAGCCTAATTAATAGCCCGGAAAATGGATATACGAGAAATTATATGAACTCTTTTAAATGTATGATGTAAAAAATATCCCTTCCAGACACATATCTCAAAAGTATGTTTATGATGGGTTGTGTCTAGTTAGATCTGCACCAAAACGTGTGTATGTTAACCAAAACTTGAAATACATTTTTTTAAAAACTTCATCCACAAGTCATGTAAATTGTTCCAGCATCGAAGATACCCCTTAAATTATCTAAAACTTCACTTTTTTCTAGTTTATATGTCCGTTTCGTCCACATCCAAGTTGTGAGTAGCCGTTACTGTCAAGTTGAAACATACTGATGTCATATATATATCGAAAATACTTGTCATCCCTACTTAACCATAGATACTGGGATCGTGGATACCCAAGCGTCCCACGAACCAGGGTCACACAACCCAAAACGTGGTTGGTTCACAATCCAAATCGCTAGAATTACCAATTCCAAATTATAACCTGAATTTCAAAACCGATAGATACTGGGATCGTGGATACCCAAGCGTCCCACGAACCAGGGTCACACAACCCAAAACGTGGTTGGTTCACAATCCAAATCGCTAGAATTACCAATTCCAAATTATAACCTGAATTTCAAACCGATCTACACTCAAGGTGATTAAAAATCATAACCCTAACCATTTATTTTTTTTATTTTGGTTATTTTGATGAACTTTCAATAACATGTGATTACAACTTACTAGCTTATATTATTGAGAACTATAGTTATTAATATCGTACGATACGCGATACGTATCGTATGATACGTCACAATACATAGGTAAAACGATACGAATCGAGGTTTTGTATCGTTTTTGCATAATATCGTCCAATACACGATACATTTTTACGATACGATACATATCGGTCGATACAAACGAAACGCGAAGTCTCTGTTTAAATTTTATTTTATTTTATTTTTTTTTTAAAGCACCAAATTGTTCACAGCCTCAGAAAATAGAAAAAAATGCCAAAGAAAAGGCAAGAGATGAAATCAAGAATTACCCATCCATCAAACCCACAAATCAACAAAAACAACCACGAAAAGCAAATAAAATAAATTTTTGAAATTGGAAAAAATAGCAACACTAACCTGTAATTCAGATGAAACCGTAGGTTGAATTTTTACCCCAAACCTGTTAGTCGCACGATCTCTCTTCATCGCTATGAGCTGCGACCACGAGGTATGTTCTTCTTTTTCTTCTTCTTCTTCTCTCTCTCTCCGGCATCAGCATTGCCATCGCCTCTCGCCTCTCGCCTCTCGCCTCCTTCTCTGATGCCTTCGTTCATGGGTCATGAGACTCATGGACAGATATTTTATTTTTTTTTTTGGTTATAAGAATGAAAAATTACATTTACTACCCTATTACACTATAACTTTTTACTTTTAAGTATAAATAAGTACCATTAATTTAATTTGATACCCTTCATTATTTTTTTAATATTAGTAAATTATATTGGTGACTAGAATAGTAGGTGGAATATTAATGAAATGTTATGTTTTTATGAGTCTATGATTTTTTTTCAAAAGCATATATATTTTATTATTAATTATTTAAAATTGTGTCGTATCTTACGATACACGATACGATACACCTTCCGATACGCGATTTAACAACTATGTTGAAAACCATTAGCAAATACTTTGACTTGGACTATGGTCCACTTTAAAACTCTTTATCATAAATATATAATATAAAATAACTATTAGTTAACTGTGTATATATTACAATGACAGTGATCCCAATAAAAGTTACAAAGCAAAACACAATAAAAAATAGCGTACTAACTAAACCTACCCTCGTCGCACTGCATAAAGAAATAAGTATCGTACCATATACCCATACCTAGTACCAAATTGACAAGCAATCCACGTAACATTGTCCTGAACTTCACCTTTTTCTTTTGTTACACAGCACAAAGATCAACACACATCAATGACCCACCCACAGGAACACGACCTGCAGCACCTATCCCACTTCAACCACCATGACCCTTCACCAATTTCAAACTCAATTTTATACATGTCCAATCCAATTCAACCACCGCCAACACAATCCCGTCCATTGTCCATCCAAATCAAACCCAACTCATAAATTCACAAAAAATAGAACCCATTCACATATTCACCAATTGTAAGAAGACGAGACCAACAACCACCAACTCCAAATGACATTGCATATGCATGCATGAGAGAGAGAGATATAGAGAAGGGGGGAAATGTGGTGAGACTGCCTCACAAAGAAAAGTAAAAGTGGCAAGAGAGGGTGGAGAACAACAGCTAAGTGATTGATAAACGAGTCCTCATTGGATTCTGTTTTTTCTCAAATTAGAGCAAACCACCATTGCCACCCTTGCAGACAACCATCGCACCACCTAAGAATGCTCTGCAATTTAAACATGAACACTTCAATTCATCTCAAATTTCATCAAATCCAACCCGAAGTTCAATAGCAATTGGCATCAAACCAACCTTAATTTACCAACCAAACTCTATTTTTAACATTTTCCATCAACCCCATCACAGTCGCAAATCTGTCCTATATGCATGTGCTTGGGTACTTCACATGACACTACCATAGGGATGGTGGTGGTGGAGAGGAAATTAAAATCAAAGAGTTCATAGAAGAATATGAAGTATTAGTGTCTTGAGATGTAAAAAATATGCTTGCAGGGAACAAATATGCATCCAAAATTCTACAAACTGAGCGCCAACATTGTCCACACCAGATATAGATATTCTTTCTCTCTTTCTCTCAATGTGTGCTAGGCAAAGAACTAAGGATAGCAATGTCCTAGATTACAACTACTGATACATAGGTATGCGCTCTCTCTCTCTCTCTCTCTCTCTCTCTCTCTCTCTGAGATAGTCATGAATGGAACAAAGGAATTAGAGGGACAAACATATAGAAAAGGAGAAAAGCAATCGACAGCGTAAAATGTGATAGACCTATTATATATGAAATATATCCCTGGCTAATTTGGAATAACAACAATATCTATCAACTCTCTTCCGACAAATACTAACATGAGGTTTGCCTAAA